GGTGGGAGCGGCGGTCGGTTTGGGGAGGGGCGGGAAGGGCGGCCGGGGGGCAGGGAGACGGCAGCCCGCCGCTGCGGCGGCCGCGTGCGTTGGCAGGGGGCGGCGCCGGGCTGGCGCGCGACCGGGCAGCTGCGCCCCCCCCCCTCGCCGAGCCCTCTCAAGACCCCCCGGCGCGCGCCGCTGCAGGGGCGGGCGGCGCGATGTGCCACGTGCCGCAGGCGCGAGGGATAACCCCACACACCCCTCCTTCCCTCCCTCACATGGGCGCCTCGCCGCCCACGCCGGCCCCGCCTGTCCTCAAGGCAGCCGAATCCGGGTGTGCCCCTGCTGCGCCCCCCGCGCCGCGCGGCTCACCCAGCGCCTCCCGGACGCTCAGCGGCGGCTCGTCGTCCGCAATGTCCACCTGCTGCGTGACCTGGCGTGGGATGCCATGCAAGGGGGGAGCGGGAGGGAGGGTGATATCGGGACAGGCGGGCGCGGCGCCAGAGGCGGCCAGGGGCAACAGGCGTGACGCCACCCCCCCTGCGGCCGCCGCCGCCAAGCGCCGTTGGGCGGAAGTGCGGGCCGGTGGGCCCGCGACGTATCGAGCAAGGGCCACGGTTGGGGCGCGGCGGCGCGGGGCCCGGCTGCCTAGGCGCGGGTGTGCAGCGTGCGCGTCGCACGGATGGCGCACAGTAGCTGGGCCCAAACCTCCCGCCAGCTCAGCGGCCCTCACCTTTGAGCTCGCCGCGGACACGTAGCTGCGCCCGGACCGGACTGAGATGTCCAGATCCCCCACGCCGCGCATGTGCTGCGCCGGCCGCGGGTGGTGCGCGAAGCTGACGGCGCTGTCAAACGCGAGGGCGCCCAGGCCGTCGGCTCCGTCCAAGCCCGCGTCGCGCGCGGGTGCGTGCGCGCGGCTCCGGCCGGCCTCCATCCGATCAAGCTGTTCGTTGGTCGGCATCCCAAGCTGGTGAAGTTCGACAAGTCCGCCTAGCTGGCGCGGGTTGAGATTTTTTCAGATGTCTCGAAGCAGGCGGTCCGGCACGGTGGCCGATGCAAACGGAAAACGACCGTGCGTCGGCTGGATAATTGGCAAGCTGTTGCACAAACAGCAGCCTGCGATCTACGCCACGCTACCACGGTACCGGTAAAAATGGCTTGATACAAAAAGCCCGATATGAATACGGTGATATCACGTGATCCGGATTGTCTGAGTGGTGCATTTCAGCACAGACTAGCGGCGGCGCGGGGCGGACCCTTGATTGGGACCACCCCGGCCGCCTCACATCATCATGCTGTGCTCACTGATGATTACTGACAGTGCAGCCCATTGCTCCCACTCGTTGTACTGTCCTTGTTGTGCACGGGTGATGGAACACGAGTTCTTGCCGCCCCTGCATCTACATGCGGGCCCCCATCCGCGCGGGCACGACTCACCGCTTGCGTTTCAGCCTCTGCAGTACTGCACCCACAACCGCCCATGCGCATGCAGCCGTGAGCCCTTACCAACGCCGGCGCCACAGAGATGGGACACGGGGCAAAGCAGACAGGAGCGAGCATGCGCTTAGGCAGTGCCAGGCGCACCCGCACCCCGCTGCCCGGCCCGCCGAGCCGGGTCAGCAGGAGTCAGGAAAGCAATGGCTCTCCTGAGGTCAGCCCAGGAGAGGCCCCCGCATGGGACAAACAAGAGAAGGAGACGCGGCGAAAAAAAGAGAGGCGAAAGACGGGACGACAGCCAGGGGGCAACAAACAGCAAAACGGAGGGCCAGGGGCCGGGCGCGCCTGCGGCACGCAAAAACGAGTGCAGATGCACACGCGCTGAAGGGTTGGGGTTGGTGCGGCTCGGCGCGCGGTCGCCGAGGGAGTGACGACAAAGCGTTATGCACATGCGGGCGTGGGCACCTGGCCTATATGCTAAGCTGCCCGCGACGATGCGTATGGTACAAAAGCAAGAGAGAGGGAGGCGGAGGGACGATGTGCAGGCGGCAGGCACAGGGGCTCGCGGCAGCCGGGGCAGCGCGCCCCCAGCCATCATCCTGCAGAGCCCGCGTGCTTTCCGGGGCGCGGCGTACCCCCCCCCCC